TTTTCCCAAATAATAGAGCAAGGGAATTTTTACAGTATATCTGATAACATTTTTCCTTCCGGAATACGTCTTATTTGTTGTATTTTGGCTAGAATAAAAGCAGTTTTTAATTTTAGGGACAAAATATTATTATATTATTAAATTATTAACACCATTTTAGGGACAAAATTATTAGCCCCTTTAAGCTAATTTTTTTCCTACTGTCTACAGAACAAACTATCGTTTCACAATAACTTGCCTAATTACCCTAACCTGCCTATTTAACCTAATTAACCTAGTTAAACCTTTAAATGTCACTTTAAGCTGTATAAAAATGTCTTGAAAAAAAAATCTAGTCAAATATTATTTAGTGTCATCATGACAAAGATAAAATTAATCAGTTATTAGGAATAAGTTATTAATTATTATGTTTAGAATTGTGTTGAAAAAAATCTTCTCTTCGTTAAACAGAAATTGGGGAAAAAATAAACAGGGGGGCTAATAATTCTGACTTCAACAGTATGTTCATTGGCATTATTGTTGTGCCTTCTCTTTACTTTTGCAGTGTTCTTTGTAGAGCAGTCTCTATGTAAAATTCCTTAAAAACCAACAGAAGATTTACTCAAAATAGCTGTATAGTCAGAACTATAATCATATTTGTGTTTTAGACTATATTGGAAATAAATGGCTTTCCATATCATAACATAACAAAACACAATATGTAAGACAAAACAACGTCTCACACCATGCTGTTGTTTATTTAACAAAAATAAAGCCAAGATAAAAAAAAAAACAATGTTTGACAAATTTATGCTTCAGTTGCCTGTCGATCCACTTTTAGCAGTAATGACTTAAGTAATAATTTTTTGTATGACATAAGCAAGTCTCTCAGATCATTCTAAAGGAGTTTTGGAGTTTTCTCTACAGCTGTGATTTAATTTTCATCATGGGCAAGGAACTGTTTTGAAAAACTGCAAAACTGTATTGTGGAAATGAACCATTTTATGGATGTGGGTGTGTGGACGTAACCCTAAATTCAAATTTACTGCTGAGGCAAATTTATTTTCCATTAAAAATAAATGTTTACAGCCAGCAAGCTTTTTCTTGTGTGTGTTTAATAGTTATAGATGATAGACATCTATAACATGACTTCTTGACTAAAAGAAGGATAAGTTTGGGCTGTCAGTGAAAATCTAATAGACATCTAACAATAATCCAAAAATAGACTAGTCATCATATAGACAGACTTGGCAGTCATTCATTCCTGCCTATCTGAAGGCTAGTAACTTTTTTTACTATTGTTAGATGTCTATTAGATTTTCACTGACACTAACAGCGTTTTATCCAAGGTGTCTATGTGTAGACATCTTTTAGACATCTATTGTACACACAAACACATTCTACTGGTCACTCACATGAAGATGAGTGTCATCTTATTATCTAGATCATTTAGTCCGACAAAAAACAGCATGATTTCAGAATAAAGCATTCACATGACATTTTTAAAAGACAAGTTATTGCTTTAGTCTGACTAAAATTGGACTTTTTAAAGTGCATGTAAATTTACTTATTGACTTGCAAGAAGCTTTTAAGTCAAATTTGGTTTCACACTAAAATAGCTTAAATGTCACATGCTCGCTGGTTGTATAATGCTGTTTTCAGGTTCATGGGTGTGCATTATTGGCTGTTAAAACAATAGGGGGTTGAAATTGAAATGATGTTCAGGATTTACCGCTGTTGCTTAATGTTCTTGGAGGCCTTCCTACAGTTCACAACAGGAAGGATGCAGGGTGTTTATGAGATCTTTTTTCAAGCAGCACTGCAAAAGAGCTCCAAAGTACAGCCATGTGCTGGTTACTTCATCTCAATTACGTTTGACCACTTTTGGTTTTGTTGTCAATATGATCAATGGCAAGAATAGATTGAATGTAGAGAAGATACAGACCCCTTGGAATAAATACATTCAAATATGTCAAACTTTATTTTTCTTATAAATTTTACATTGATAAAATATTTAACATATTTTGTTGGTCATAGTCTTCAAACATTATACGCAGTTAGTTCTTTAGTAAAGGATTGTTGCTTCTCAAGTAAATTTACATTGCCAACTTATATGTGTATGTATATTTGACAGAATATGAATGATAAACAGTGATGAGGACTAATGTATATGTGGAATGACTTGTTAACAAGTTTTCCTCCATAAATCCGACATGCCCTGTTGAGTGGAGGATGATGACGATTTTTCCATGTTTGAAATTTGAACCATTACATTCCACTTTCAGTGCTTCCTCTGGTAATTACAGGGCAGGTGATGATATCCTGTTCTTGGATGAAAGTGTGTGATTCTTCTGTCTTTTAGTAAAATATCTTCCAAGAACATTTTCATTGATTTATTGACTTACATGTGCTTGAGTATGTGGCATCAGTATAAGAAAATGTATAGTTCTTTTTATGCCTATTAATGTCTTTCTATCCTTCTATTCATCCACTTTTCTATCAATCAATTCATCCAACTCTTCATGCATTCTTCTATATTTTTCTATCTATCATCCTATCATTCCCCCGTTCCATCCCTTCATCATCTTTTCATTTATTTACCATAGTCATTCCATCAGCCATTGTATTGCATATATTTTCTCCATCCATCCATCCATTCTTGTATGGCTTTTTCTGTCTATGAATTCTTTTATCATTCCATCCATCTATCTATCCATCCATCCATCCATCCATCCATCCATCATTCTTCCATCCATCATTCTTTCATTCCATCTTTCATCCTATCATTCCATCGTTCCATCCCTAATAAATAAATCCATCCATTTATTTTCAAGTCATTGTCATTCCATCCATTCTATTGTGTATATTTCCTCCATCCATCCATTCGTGTATGGCTCTTTCTGTCTTTAAATCTTTTTACCATTCCATCCATCATCTATTCATTCATGTTTTATCCTTCTATCCATCCATCCATCCTTTCAATCTTTTTTATATTAATGCATCCATCCATTCATCCATCCATCCATCCATCCATCCATCCATCCATCCATCCATTTCTCTATATTCCATCCATTCAGTCATTTTTTTATCTTTCTTCCATTCATTCATCCATCCATCCATTATTCTTTCTATCTGTCATTCTATCATTCCATCTGTTCATCTGTTATCCTATCATTCCATTATTTCATTCCATTAATCTATCTGTTTATTTACCAGTCATTGTCATTCCTTCCATCCATTGTATTGTATATATTTATTCTATACATCCATCCATTCATTCATTCATTCATTCATACATCCATCAATTTTTGTATGGCTCTTTCCATCAATGAATCATTTTACAATTCCATTCATCATCCATCTATTCATTCATGTTTTATCCATCCATCCATCCATCCATCCATCCATCCATCCACTCTTTCGTGTATGGCTTTTTCGGTCTATGCAACATTTACCATTCCATTCATTAGCCTGTCATTTAATTCATATTGAGATATTAAACATATCTATTTGTCATTATCTAATTATCATTTTGACTATGAGTTTGTCTATATGATTTTAAATTATTTGTCATTTTGTCTATATGTTGTTCTATCTGCCTGTATGTCTGGTAATGATTTTAGCATGTATCGGGTCAACCTGTAGAAAAAAAGGTTTCCCTCTTTTCTGGAAATTGTGTACTGTTAGCCAATCAGGTTAGAGCTTGCCACATTGGGAAACTACTTTTCCATTTAGTGAGAAATATGCATCAGATCAGGTCAGTAAATAGACTCCAGTGTTCCATGTGTAATAGTGAAGTTCTCTAACTGTAGCAGAATCCCTTTTCTAGTGTTTGGATAGAGTCCACATTTAAGAACAAGCATCTGTTGTTTAACACTTCACTTTAACAATGCTGGGCATTTTCTGTCATCTATATCCAGACACTGAGCTTTTTTCTAAGTCCCTTAGCTCTACTTTACAAAAACTCTTTGGGCACACAGGATCCCACTAAAATAACATATTGATGACTTCAGGGAACCATAACAGTGTGAATGAAAGGCATGCCTGCCACCTTCAACTCAAGAGTCAAGGCCAACCTTTTTTATTGATTTCCTGCTGGTTGCTGTGGTCATTGTGTAAAGAAAGCAACAGTGGGGAAGAAAAAAAACTCTTTCCAGACCCGGGCAAGGTGAACGTCTGGCTGTAAAGGTAAAAAGACATTCATAAAGCTCTCAGATTATTTTATCAGGCTCATTTTGTGAGGAGAAAAAACGCTCTCGGCTATCTCGCCGGTATGTGTCACATTTGAAAACCATTATGAGGCCGAGCTGAAGCCTTAGGACACAAAAGAAACGGGTTTGTTTATCCTGACTCGTAAGAACTTTGTTTGGAACATGGTCTCGATAACAGCCCATTTGCTGTACGAAACGCACAGGGCTATCTGGTTGAAAAGGTCACTCGAGGTAATTTTGAGTGAGGAGGCAAACAATACAATATTTCTTCTGGTTTTATGTGCAGCCCGAATCCTGAGGTTGTGTTTTTTCTTACGCAAGTGAAAGAAAAAGCGCCTTATCTTATTATATACATTTTTTCCATCTTATGCTGTTGTCGTTCACAGTGGAAATTTTTCACAGTAACATCTGACGATGGTTATACGTCTTGTAATTTGCCTGCTATTAGCAAATGCACCCGGGATTGTTTGGTGAAGGGTGCGGCATGGGTGGCTACTCTGAAATCCACTGGCAGCGAACAGGCCTCATTTTGGCTGAGAGCTCCACCTCCTTAACGACAGTCTGTCGACGGGAGAGAAAATCCCACACTTTGATGTTCTTTCAGGGTGGCTGAGTTTTATAACATGTTATAACTAGATCAGAGCTGAATGCAGAGCTCTGAACGCTCAGCACCCGCTGCAACATTATAACCACTGATTTGCTAGTTAACCAAATACAACTGTGATGTTCAATCCTAGTCTGTTTTCTTTTTTTGTTAATTCTTTTTTTAAATGCTAAAATAAATCAATCAACTGTGATTTCACTTGTTTTCCAGTCCACATATCGTGTTCCTGTCTCAAAGTGTGCTAACTGGTGAGAGGAACCTCTGTGGGGCAAGGTTATGCCATGAAATTGCCCATTCCTGGTTCGGGCTGGCCATTGGAGCACGGGATTGGACAGAAGAATGGATCAGCGAGGGCTTCGCTACTTACTTAGAGGATGTTTTCTGGAGCCACGTTCAGAAGGTATTATGATATGGTTGAATCTTTGAGTGCTTGTCTGAGGCCCTGTTTCCTGCTGGTGTTAACATGCGTTTTTTAGTAGTCTGCCGAGACGCATTACTGTTAACACCTGGTAATATCATCTGTTCAAATTTATCTTGTATGACCACTTTTGTTCAGATTTGATCTAAACCTTTCCATTTAATTTTGTGACACTCTACATCACAAGTGGTCAGTACGACCCATGAGTACTATTGAATAATAAAAAGTTTTTTAAACAGCTTATGACTGGAAAGCAAGCGAATGGAAAGCATGGGAAATGACATCTATGACTTAATCCTGATTCATACTTCTGTGTCGATTGATCAGCATACCCCACACCACATACATGATCAGTTTGTGCAGCTCTAGCAGGAACACTTCCGAAACACTAGTAGGCAGTGGGGTTTCTATAGCCATTTCACACAGGGATACCAGTAAATATCTGGAAAATTTCCGGAACGACTTTACCGGTATTTTCAAAAAAGCGCTGTTCACACAGGCGAGGACGTTATGGAATTTTTCCGGAAATGACCGTTCACACGTCCATTTCAAAATACCGTTAAATTCTGACATCAATTACCACAAATGAGCTTTAAACGGCTGCGCTTGTATTTGTAAACATTTGACTACATTACAAACTCTGTGGATGATCAGTATTGTGAACAACTTCGATGAAAACATATGGAGGATCACTTTCGCATGTCGAGATGTTCCTAATATGTGCGTGTGCTGGCGCTCACAGGCTGTTTCACAGGCACACACAGCTTGAAGGTAAACAAACAGCGGCTTTTCATAAGCATCTTATCGATGATTATTTACACAGTTGGCATTAAGAAGAACATTTAAACGCTATCTGACTAACTTTTAGCAGCTAAACGCGTCTGGGAAAATATTCAAAGGCTTTTAATCTCACAAACCGCACGGACGTGAATGCGTCTGACTGTTCTGATTGGCTAAAGCAGACGTCTCACATCAGCACGTTCTAGACGTGCACGCGCTCTTTCAGGCAATCTTCCTTCTGCATTCACACAGCGCAGCATTCCGGCAAATTACCGGTAATCTTACAACTTCTCTTTCCGGAAAATAGCCAGAACGAATTTACCGGTATTTTCAAAAAGGGCCTGTTCACACATACAAACCTTTCTGGAAAATTGCCGGTAATTTTCCGGAAAGGTCTGTATGTGTGAAAGGGGCTTATGTTTCACTGTACTTACGCCAGAAATGCATGGTGCTACTGTAGAAGTAATTCAAATTTACACAAAAACTCAAATCAAAAACTCACTCAAATTTTCAGAGAAGAAATAATAATCTGAAACCAGCAAATATTCATAAATTTTAATGATAAAATAAACACAAAACAAAATGTCCATCCAGAGATCCTCTGTGCATTCAACACTTGTATCCACCTGCCTCAATTTGCTCCCATGGCTCTCGTGTAGCCCCGCCTACACTCATCAATGCTACCAAGCCGGCCAATCACAGATCTTTTGCTCCACGTTATTATGGCATGTAGTTAAATTTTTTGAGATGTGTGCATCAGGGTACTGATCGGGATATGGCAAATTGTATGTGACTATGCGAAGGTTAACTTGACGCAAAGGTTCAAGTTGAGGTATTTATAGAGCACATTTTAAAATAGTCACAAGACTGACCAAAGTGCTGTACATAAGACAAGGTAAAATAAGAAGACAGATTATAAAAACATAAACATAAGACAAGAGAAAAGACTGAAAAAAAATGTACAAGTAGAAAGGACTATTCAAACAATTCTAAAAAGCCAAGCTAAATAGGTATGTTTTTTGAGTGATTTAAAAACAGAGATGGAGCCATTCTAATCTCAAGGGGCCACATGTTCCATAACCGAGGTCATGCCACAGAGAAAGTTTTTGGCAAATTAGTTTTAAGCAAAATACTAAATTGACCTTTACATTGTAATTTGTATGTGTGATCAGATGTGCTCCAACATTAGGCACATTCAAATCAAGACTGAAAACACATCTGTTTAGCTGTGCCTTTACTGAATGAGCACTGTGCTGCGTCCGACAGATTGCACTATCATGTTTTTCTCTTCTTCTTCATTCTTTTATATCACATTTTACCTGTTTTTATGTTTTGTTTTCTTTTTACGCATTTTTATTATTTGTTTTTATTTTTATTTTACTTGTTTCTTTTATTCTTGTTTATGTAAAGCAATTTGAATTGCCATTGTGTATGAAATGTGCTATATAAATAAACTTGCCTTGCCTTCCCTAATTCATGTGCAAAAACAAAACATGAAAACCTAGCTTTAGCATTTTCTCTCAGAATTGTTTCAGAAATAATGGTACTTTCCAATACCGATGCTGATATTTAAAAAAAAAAAAAAAAAGAAAAGAAAAGAAAAAAAATACACATACATACACACACACACACACACACACACACACACACACACACGTATATATATATATATATATATATATATATAAATATAAAAAAAAAATAAAATAAAAAAAAAAAATATATATATATATATATATATATATATACATATATATATATTCATACAACAGTTCTGTCTGGTTTTCAAACCTGATTGGCTGATAGCCATGCGATATTCCCGTAATAACAGCACTCGTACAGCCTCTTCACCCTACTGTACCACATAGAGTGAAAGCAGATCAGTAAACTCAGTACAGTTTGCGGCTTTTTTTATGTGGGGATGTAGTTGTTTGGATTGAATCTATGCAGTTTAAAAGGATTTAAATGGATAGTGCCTATTTTAAATATTTATCATTTTGGAGATACAACACATCGGCAGCCTTTAGCCTGTCATACTGAGCAGAGCAATGATGGTTGACCTTATCCATCCACAAGATGGCGACAGAGACAGCATAATTAGCCTTACGAGAAAAACAGCGTAATTTCTAACTACAGATGATCAAATCAATATTAAACAGTTAGGTGATATTCTAAGTCGATCTCTCTCTTTTGTGTGTTGTAGTGCTGTATTTATACCATAGTAATTGTAGAGTATTGAGTGTGAGATAGGACTAACATATCAGGAATTTATGTGTTTTGTGTAAGTCACTCTTTGTATTACCCTGACTTTTTGGTTGGCCATCTGTTTGTTTCTCCGGTTTTCTTTACTGCAGACAACTTCTTTAAAAAGAAAAAAAGAAGAAATGCCCGCATATTTTTTTAACACTTTTCCTTACTATAAACACAACAGTAATTCGGTAGTGTTTGTTGCTTTGGCTTTATCGGGGTTTATTATTGTGATGTCCTGACTGCAACAGAGAAATATTGGGAAATCTCTGTAGACTGATGGCATTTCATGCTATTCAGCCTAAAAATATGAGCAAAATCAGCTGTTTTGTCATCACCTTAGATATTACACTAGAGAATCAAATACTAGCTCTAAAGTGACATTAGAGAATGAGCAATGGTTTCTGCTGTTCTGACTTCAGCTGCAGATGTGAATGAATGGCGGAAGAAAGTAGTTCCTCGTACAAAAGGGTTTTTAGACTCTCCGTGTTTGATTTTCTTTTTTTAAACACACGATTATGCTATCAAACTGTTGTATGAATCCATTGCAGGCCTCCCACCATGCAGTGCCGATATGCAGCCATATCGCACTGCTACTCATGTGATATACATTTATATTGCAGAGGAAGAGGAAAAACATATTAAATGTTAATTTCCTTCATTTGTTTAGCAAAAATTTTTCCTTCAAACATTTTTACACTTAATTATCCTTGTTAAAATGCCTTGTATGAAAGTTTCTGTACTTTTATTGCAAATTATATTGCTCTGTCATGTTTTTTATTTCATTTAATATCACAATGCACATTAGAAATGTTCCACTTCAGTGAAAAAGTAACCACATTTTAACCATAGTGCAAACCACATTTATGAAACATAAATCATATCCCAGTGAATGTTTTTGTTTACACATAGTTTTATCTTCCATAAGCAAGCAAAACATGTCCATTTAGATTTTCTCTGAATGAATAAGACATCTCCGGGTATTTTATTTGTTACATATCAAATTGGCGTTTTAAAATTTGTCTAGGCTTAATGAATTTAATTAATTTGGGTAATTTTAAACATGCCACTGTAACATCTGCTTGTTTCAAACTCACAATTTTGTTTTAATCATTAAAATGTAAGTTCAGCTCGTATCAGTACTCTAGGTCATTCAACTAAAGTGCTCTCATTTCTTCTCCCTGCTTTCAAGTAACACTTCCAATATGTGCATCATTTTACTGTTTGGCTGTTTCATCTTCTTTTTCTATGGACATTTTTAACAGAATTACAAACTTTCCATTGATGTCTGATGTCTGTATGCACACTTAATCCAATCTACATGCTACTGTATCAGCCCACTCACAGCAGCTATAAAGACATCCATGTACAATTTATTATATATTTATAAGACATTACCTTGATTTGAAGACATCTTTAGTCTCTGCTATTTCTGTTCTGCTTCCTGTTTGTTCTGTTGTTGGTGTTTCCTTTGTCTTTATGTATACAGTGTGGTATCAGTTTTTATGTACATGAGCACTATACCGGTGTATCCCTAGTTATTTCCTACCCATATTTTCTGTCTTTCACCTTGCAAACTACAGAAAGCACCAAAAAAACACTGTTAAATGTGATGTGTTTACTAAAATTCATTACTGATACACACCTATTAGAGCTCATGCTGAGTGGTCAGAGTATAAAATGAGTTTGAAATTAAATTGAATTTTCGGCATTAACCGGAAGGCTTCTTCTCCTGTAATGACCGAGATAGCTAATAATGAGTCACAAACTAGAGCTTGTGGAGTGCGATTGTGTGCCGCATCAACACAGCACTTCACTTCATTCACAATGTATTTATAATCTGTGTTGCCGGCTCTGGATTGAAAGCCATTGTTGTGCTAATGGAATGTTTCCAATATGTATTTTTCAACAAGCAGCATTTATAGCTGAAGTGTGTCATTTTATTGATGTTTTCAATGACTTTCTCTTATCCCCATTTGACATGCAGAGATTGCTGTCTGTAGGTCAGCGACACTGGTTCACTGATGACATGACTTTGGGTTGGGGTTTTCTGTTTGTCTGACTGACCAGTGTTGGAGAGGTTACTTTGGAAATGTAATAGATTACAGATTACAAATGACCCTATTTAAAATGTAATAAGTAGTGTACGTTTTCAATTACTTTATGAAAGTAACTAATTACATCTGATAACGTTTTGATTACTTTTAAGTTTCTAATGGATATTTTTTTTCAAGTATTTACACCAAGCAGGTGTGCCCTTACTGTAGCACTCTGTTTACTGTTAGGTCTTCAAAATCTTTCATCATTTAAGATTATATTAATTTAATTTAAAAGTACATCCACCACAAACCCAGACAAAAAAAAGTGTTTACTGCATCTTGACATCAAAATTTTAGTTAGTTGTGCAGGGTGATTTTTGTGCCATTAGCAACAAAAAAATACATTAAAGCTATTTTTGCAATTTTCATTTTTAAATCCAAGCAACTTAAATCCAGGTCAATCATATCTTAGTGATCAATAACAACGTCAATGAAACATATTAGGCAAAATTGTTTAGTTCAGTTATTTACTGCAATTAATATACTGTACTAAACAGAAACAAATTTTAATATATAACAACTAAAGCAAATAATCCAATAAAACTAGGTGTTACACTTTTAAAATACTAGGAATGAGCATTATATTATATATATATATATATATATTTACAACTCTTCATTAATAAATTACACTATATAATGTAGTATTATTAGTAACTACTGTATCATGATCTATTAGTAGTTACCTTAGTACAGGGCTTCACATTAACACCCGCCAACTTGCTAAATGAGGGTAGATTTCAGCTCTGGTGGGTTAGAATTAAACAGACACCTCCACTAGCCACTTTGGCTGGTTGGAAATCATTTTTAAATTGAAGTTTTCTTAAAAGCAGGGTTCGACAATAAAGATGGCTCAATATTCATGCAAATGTGATCTAATCGAGAAGCAGCACGGCTGACAAAAATATATTTGTTCGCGCGAGCAAAACAGCAAAAAAGAAGGTAAATACCGAACGAGAGGATGATCACGCGCGCACAGGTGATCATCCTTTCATTATCGAACACAGTATGTTTCACCTGCTTTCTTTTCATTACAGTTATTTTGTTATTATGGTTTAATTATATTTTTCTTTACAATAACATTGCTTTAATGGGAGATTACTCCCTATTTATGTGTAGTTCACTGGTGATCTGGGACTTTTAGCCAGGACAGATTACTGTGCATTTTTTAGACACATGACAATAATTATTCATTTAATGTAATCTTTTTTTTTTTAGGAAAAGTTTTGTTGAACTAAAAAGGGTCCCACTTTATATTAAGTGTCCCTAACTACTATGTACTTACATAAAAAAAAATAAATACAATGTACTTACTGTGTTTATAATGTATTTGAGAACACTTGTGGTACTTTTGAGTTGGGAAGGAGGTTGGGTTATGTACAGGTTTGGTGGCATGGGTAGGTTTAAGGGTGGGTTAAGGTGTAAGGGATGGTCAACAGTGTATTTACAAATGTAGTTACAAAAGTTATTTACAGATGTAATTACATACATGTATTTAATCAAGCTTAAGTACACAGTAAATACATGAATTTACACAATAAGTACATTGTAACAAACTATTTAATTCTATGTAAGTACATATTAGTTAAGGCCACTTAATATAAAGTGGAACCCTAAAAAGTGTACCTATAAAGCTATATTTTCTTTGGTTTGGTTGTTTGCTTATTTGATGAGGTCAGAGATAAATTTGGTAAATGCTTAATTTGGAAAGTCGTGAAATAAAAACTGATTGCAGTGCGACAACCTATTTGCTCATGCACACTGAGCAAGCTAATACACAATACACACAATAAGTTAAATGAATGAGGAGGCATGTGGACATAACACAGCATCTAAATCAAGTAATTTAGCATGTCAAAGTCAAATTTATGCATATAAAATATATTTCCCTACAAGAAAAGTGTGGCTAGTGAAAATGGCGAGTGGCTAGTAATGTTGGAAATCTACTAGCCACCGTGGCTGGTGATCAAAAAAAGTTAATGTCAAGCCCTGCCTTCATATACTGTAGCCTTTACTACAGTAAACTATATATTTATCGGTACTTAACCTTACTGACCAGTGTCAAACAGGAGTGTTTGGGGAAACCTGGGCCTATTTGTATCACTGAATCAAAGGATGTCATTAATATTGTTGACTGAGAAAACTTTTTAGCTGTCAACTGTCAAGTGTTTTTACTGAACGTTTCACTGTAATGTCTGGCAACTTTTGGCAAATGGAGTCGTAGTTGCTATAGTTACTTTATAGTCTTACAATAAACAGAACATAATGAACCACAAAGCCAACTTTTGCTAAAACCAGTTATAATAAATGTGGCATTAAGTGTATTGATTTAAAGGGGACTTATTATGCAATAATCACTTTTTATAAGAGGTTTAAACACAGTTGTGTGGCTGCAGTGTGTGAATATAGCCAGCCTCTAATAGTAATTACTTCTATTTATTTATAGTGACACTTCATAACAACAGGCTGCAGAAACACTTTGATTGACATTCTCCCTTTGTACATGTCATCAGAGGGGGAAAGCCCCACCCATTAGTTAATCTTTCCCTCATTAGCGTAAACAGCCTTGAGTGAGAAGCAGCCGTCCGCCATTAGAGTTTTCGCCTGCTAAAGACTATGTCAGCGACTAAAGATTATAAATGTGAAGTTTTAAGATGACTAAATAAACAGCACAGTCTCCATAAACTCCCTCTTTCTGAGACACCTCTTTTCACATTTTCTTGTAAAATCTTGTAAAATGTGCTTAATATGTCCCTTTTAATATATAAAATTGCTATCTGATATCTATATAATAGGTATGTGGCTTTGGTATGTTAAAAAAAATATCTTTAAAGGGCTTAGCTTTGTTGCGTAAAATAGAGGAATTACTTCTAGAATGAACCAGCAAACAATCATTTTTGAAAGTTGTTTTTTGCTTCCGTATAAAATAGTATTGCACTCGGTTTGGAGCAATTTAACAATTGTTTTAGTTTATATAACACTATGTTTTAAAGTTTAAGTTGACTTAAGTAAGCTGTTTTGGTTCCTTAAATTTATTAAGGTGAAATTCCTTAACACTCAATGATCAACACTAATAACGCTAATTATTAAAGATTTTTTTTTTCTTGAAACCCGAGTTTCACGAAGTGTACCCATAATCTTATAAAAGATTTCTTAGATTAACTGCTTTGATCCAACTTCATAGTAAAGTAAAGTTCTTTGCTTTAGCTTATTTGCAGCTTTTTTATCTGTTCTCCTTTTCTGGTTTTCTCAGTTGGGCTGTAGAGAGGCTGAGGAGCAGAGACAGTTAAAGGCTTTGCTGCGCTGGAGGAGATTGAGTGATGAGTTGCAGAACTCTGAAGAAGAGCTGCAGGTCCTCAGGTATGATTGGCCATGTCTGTGTCTCTCTCTGTATGTCTCTCTCTTTGCTTTCATCCTTCTCTAACTGCCAATCTCAAGTTCATATAGTCGCATTACTCCTCTTGCAAGGACTCATCCATCATCTGGACAATAAGTCCACAGTAGAACCTAAAGTTCACTTTTAATAGCAGTTCTGAAACAGGCGTGTCTCAGTTGCAAGGTTGCTGTAAAATAAGGCAGTATCTGCAGTCTGAATCTGAACAGATTTCAATTACTGATGGAATATATATTAAATGCATCAGTACTTTCGTCTTTAATTTCACATCCAACAATCTGATATGCAGATATTATTATTTTTTCATTTTTGTTCTAAATATTTATTTTTATGTTGAAAATGTCAGCTTTGCCACTTCAGGATTTAAATACATGTTCAAATGTATTCATATAAAACAATTAATTTCAAATGGCAAATTATTGCTTAATGTTATTGTTTTTCTCTTCTCTTTTCACACTTATTTTTAATTTACAATTTACACTATGAACAAACCATTAACTAAGACCTTTAGCTTAATAAACTCCTAATTAGCTGCTTATTAATATTTAGTAAGATAGTAGTTTGGTTTACTGTAGGTATTGGGTAGGGTTAGGGATGTAAAATGAGATCATACTTTATAAATTCTAATAAACAGTTTATATCCTAATAATAGGCTGGTAGTTGGCCAGTAGTAAATGGTGTGAATTGTTACTTAAACCATTTGACCATTTTTGGTTTATTTTCAAGAAAATTAAAGACTATTTTACAAATCAAAGTTCATGCATCCAATGAAACTATACTACTATACTATACGATACTATAGTATACTATGCATACTACTGCACACTTACACTCACCGGCCACTTTATTAGGTACACCTTACTAGTACCGGGTTGGATCATCTTTTGCTTTCAGAACTGCTTTGATCCTTTGTGGCAGAGATTCAAGAAGGTACTGAAAATATATATATATACTGAAAATATTCATTGGAGATTTTGGTCCAAACTGACATGATAGCATCACATAGTTGCTGCAATCATGCTCGGTGCCTACCCATATCCCCCCTCCGCGGTGCGTGCCCTGCGGGCCTGTCCGCTACACCATTGGCTGTAACCCATCTACCTCAAGATTCAATGTGTTGTGCTTTCGGAGATGCTCTTCTGCATACCTTGATTGTAATGAGTGGTCACTTGAGTTACTGTTGTCGTTCTATGAGCTCGAACCAGTCTGACCATTCTCCTCAGTCCTCTGGCATCAACAAGGCATTTGCGCCCACAGAACTGATGCGCACTAGATTTAGTTTCTCTTTGTTGGACCATTTACTGTAAACCCTAGAGATGGTTGTGCTTGAAAATCCCAGTAGATCAGCAGTTTCTAAAATACTCAGACCAGTCTGTCTGGCACAAACAATCATGCCACGTTCAAAGTCACTTAAATCACCTTTCTTCCCCATTCTGACACTCGGTTTAATCTGCAGCAGATCGTCTTGACCATGTCTACACGCCCAAATGCATTGAGTTGCTGCCATGTGATTAGCTGATTAGATATTTGCTTTAACAAGCAGTTGGATAGGTGTACCTAATAAAGTGGCCAGTGAGTATATGTCACACAACATGATGGCTAATAATATACAATATGCAACAAAGCCTTTATGCAACAAAATCACACTATTTTTTTTTTTATTTAACCTGTAATGTTAAAACATTTACATTGTTAACTCCATATGAAAATATTAATTAATCCCTGTGCTTGATTAAAAGTTGCATGTAAAATCTGTGTCCTCAAGCAAAAGCTGTGATATATATCATGCAGCTAAAGTTCTTAAGGAAACAATATATTCTAATACATCATATGTATGCAATCAAATTTCCAGGTATGAGCTCTAGATTAATTGAAGCGAGTGCTTGAAATAGTTGTGACATTTCAGTTTGCACAGAATAATTTCAAGCATGTCATTGCAGGAGAATTATTTGATATGAGATGTAATGTAACATTCTCATACGAAGAGCACAGTGTAACACAAGGTTATGTAGGTGTGGAGAGGAGTAGATTAGCCTGGCTTAACTTTAAGGAATGAGAAAGTGTGTGTGCGCGTGTGTGATAGAGTGATAGTGCTTGTCAGGAATTCAGCTGTCACAATACCAGCAGGTTTTGAGGATGCACCTGACAGCATGATTCTGGCCCATCCTCCGCTTTGAGGGGCCCACACCCACTGTAATCTCAGGGATAAAATGTGCAGACAGTCTGGAAAAATGCCTGTCTTCGGAATAAAACACAGAGCTGTCATGTTTCATATTTAATATTTAGTAAGTGATGCTAAGACAATGAAAACATGTCATTAAAATCCAGAGCGTTTAAAAGATCAAACAGTAGAGTGTGGCGTTTTGCTACAGCACAAGGTCACAGGTTCAATTCACAGGGAAATGCGAGGACTAATCAAATTTATAGCTTGAATTGCAGTGTAAATTCACTTTGAATAAATGTGTCTGCTGAATGCATAAATGCTAGGCTAAAAATATTCTGCAAGTACAAATAGGCAGTTTAGGATTTGTGTTCGTTTAGCAGCTTCCATCCACAGAAAGTTGCTTATAGTTGCACTACAATGTGTCAACATGCAGTTCATAGTGCAATAACTCTATCTGTGATGTCCTGTCAAGCTCACCTACTTTTATAATATTTTATGTATAATAATAATTACTAAAAAAGTAAAGTTTGCATCAAGCTTTATGGTGTCTTGAGAAAACCTCGTCTGAAAGTTTAAAGTAGCTTTAACGTATAAATAATTGAAGTAGTTTTTTAAAAAGTTTGAAACAGTTATAAGTACATATAGGTTAGCATGTTTCTAGTGTGTTTCTTGCTTGGCTGCTGATAAAGAGTTCTGAGTGTTTGCTAAGGTGTTGCTAAATGGCTGCTAGGGTGTTCTGAATGGTTGCTAGGGAGTTCTGAGTGGTTGCTAAGGTGTTCCTAAGTGGCTGCTAGGGGGTTCTGAATGGTTGCTACTGCTAGGGTGTTCTGAGTGCTTGTTTAGGTGTTGCATGGCAATTGTTAGGGTGTTCTGAGTGGTTGCTATAGGAGGTTGCTAAGGTTTACTAGAGTGTTTTTACTAGTTGTTAAGGCATTGCTAGTCGGTTGCTAGGGTGTTCCAGGTAGTTTTTAAAGTTTTTAAGTTATTTCTGAGTAGTTGCTTAGAGTTTGCTAGGGTGTTTTATGTGGTTGCTAAGATGTTGCTAGGGTGTTCTTTGTAGTTGCTAAGGCATTGCTAGATGGTTGCTAAGGTGTTGCTAAGTGGTTGCTAAGGTGTTTTGAGTGGTTGCTAAGGCATTGCTAGGTTGTTGCTGTGGTGCTCTGAGTGGTTACTGAGGCGTTGCTAGGCGGTTGCTAAGTTGTTGCTGGGCAGTTGTTGGGGTGTTCTGAGTGGTTGCTAAGGTTTTATTAGGTGGTTGCTAAGGTGTTGCTAGGCGGTTGCTAAGGTGTTCTAGGTCATTGCTAAGGTTGCTAGGGTGTTCTAAGAGGTTAATAGGTGGTTGCTAAGGTGTTGCTTGGCTGTTACTAAGGTGTTGGTAGGTGGTTGCTAAGGTGTTCTGGGTAGTTGCTAGGCAGTTGCTAACATAAATTAGCATGGTTCTAATATGAATTACCATGTTGCTAGCCTTCATTCATTCATTCATTCATTCATTTTCTTTTTGGCTAAGTCCCATTATAAATCTGGGGTCGCCACAGCGAAATGAATCACCAACTTATCCAGCAAATGTTTTAAACAGCAGATACCCTTCCAGCTGCAACTCAGTATTGGAAAATTGTTACTAGCATGTTTTTAGTATAAACTAGCATGTTGTTAGCATGAATTTAGCATGAATCAGCATGTTGCTATTATGTTTATAGTATGAATTAGCATGTCGCTAGTATGATTAGTATGTTTGTTATTCTTTTTTTACTATGAAAAGGTTTGTTGTCCGTACGTCCAATGTAAAGTCAATGACAGTTTTTTTACAATGGAATTCTATGGGACAGTTGCTAGGGTGCCGTAAGTGGTTGTTAGGGTGTGGCTAGTAAGTTGAAAGGTCCTCAGTGTCTGGCAGATTGGTAGTCTGAGTTAAATGAGTCCAACATTATTAGGTCTGTATGATAGTTGCAAAGTTATGAGGTCAGAAAATTTGATGATTTAATTTAATATTAAATGATAATAAATATAATAACATTGTTTTTTTTTTTTTTGGAAAAAATCTCTTACACTTTTTTTTTTTTAATCTGCAGTGAAACCAGGGGCAGTCCAAAAAAATCAATAACTTGTGTTCCTCAATCATCATCTCAAACAACTTTTACCATAGAGTACTAAAGTGTAAACTAGGCCTGTCACCATGAAGAATTTTTGGTGCGCGATATATTGTCACAAAAATTGTTATGATAAGTGATTGTCATTTTGAAATCATTTTATGCCACTGATATAAGAATGATTATATAACAGCATAATAATGCAAATAGCCATACACACTTTCAAGAGACTAATGTTTTTTATGCTTAATGATATGTAGATTCTGTAATTTGATGTCAAAAGTTATATAAATCTGCTATTATATATCCTATAAAATATCCTGTTAATTAAATGTCCAATTATAAATGTTGCCATTGGTGAGGTAAAATGGAAATGTCCTTTAAACGTTATTTGTGAATTTGTAAATATTGCAACACCAAAAATGATTGAGGTCAAATATTGCACGATAAGTCGATACATTTATCATTGTGACAGGCCTAGTTTTAACATTTGCACCATACAGTATATATCCTAATGTATGACTTTACCGAGAGAGCTTCAGAGCAAATGTACTACTCTCAACAGCATAACATGGTTTAACAAATGAGCTCCAACCTACTGTATGTAGTATCAATTGGGACACTTTTCCTTTGTTTATCCCAATGACAAAATGTGTACCAGTTGATCTGAATTTACCCTTCAGTAAGAAACCAGGTAAAATGGGATGCTTGCTTT